CCATCTCACGCCAGTTAGAATGGCGATCATTAAAAAATCTGGAGACAACAGATGCTGGAGACGATGTGGAGGAAAAGGAACACTTTTACACTGTTGGTGGGAGTGTAAATTAGTCCAACCATTGTGGAAGACGGTGTGGCGATTCCTCAAGGCTTTAGAAATAGAAATCCCATTTGACCCAGCAATCCCATTACTGGGTATATATCCAAAAGACTATAAATCGTTCTACTACAAGGACACATGCACACGAATGTTCATTGCAGCACTGTTTACAATAGCAAAGACCTGGAATCAACCCAAATGCCCATCGATGATAGACTGGATTGGGAAAATGTGGCACATATACACCATGGAATATTATGCAGCAATCAGAAATGATGAGTTCGTGTCGTTTGTAGGGACATGGATGAATCTGGAGAACATCATTCTCAGAAAACTGACACAAGAACAGAAAATGAAACACCGCATATTCTCACTCATAGGTGGGTGATGAAAAATGAGAACACATGGACACAGAGAGGGGAGTACTAAACACTGGGGTCTATGGGGGAAAAGGGGAGGGCCAGTGGGAGGGGGAGGTGGGGAGGGATTGCCAGGGGAGAAATACCAAATGTGGGTGAAGGGGAGAAAGCAAACAAAACACACTGCCCTGTGTGTACTTATGCAACTGTATTGCATGCTCTGCACATGTACCCCAAAACCTAAAATGCAATAAAAAGAAAAAAAAAAACCATAATTTAACCTTCTATTGTTCATTGTAATTTATTGTATTTCTATTTCATTGTTATAAATGCAGTATACACACATAAATTCCTTGTCTTTAATGACAAGAAGAAAATTAGTCTTTTAAAGATATATTTTTTATTTTAAATTTACATTTAAAAGTCTATCACTCGTAGATTAATTTTGTTATTTTTATCTTAATAGGAGCAGAAAATAAGTTTGTTTTGATTATCTCAAACTCTGGGAGGTCTTTAAAATTAAATAACGAATCAGAGTTTTATTCACAACAACTGTCTTTTGTCTTGTTCTAGAAAATTAAGGGGACTACACATAGCAAAAATCCCAAGGCAGTGTTTGTTTCATGGTGTTACTCGAATCTATGATGAGGTCATTTCATAGACTTATTCTTTAGAAAATGAAACTCCTTAGGGCAGACTGACCCGGGTTGCTCAGGAATGTAAATAAAAATGATTATTTCTCTCTTTACATAAGACAATATTTTACTACATTGCATACCATAATAATCTTTCTCATGGCCAATACAGAAATAAAAGCATCTACCAAATATGGTTAAATCCTCAAAGCAAAAGCAGTACTGGAAATTGACATCACTTACATTTAGTCACATTTTCAAAAAAGCGTGATTAATGAAACAGAAGTGTTCTCATGGAGAGTGTGCGCCATGTGCTAGTGACAGTTATATCAGAACAAACTACATGTAACATTAATCTTCCTTTTGCTCTGGTATCTCCCGAGTGAAATGCTTGGGTGTGTGTGAAAACCGTAGGGAGAATGACAACTCATTTGGTATTGATTTGGCCTTTGTCCCGGCTCTCTCTCACATTACCAACCCCTTCCTCATCCCTGCTGTCACTGACTTTGAGAAAGCACATGGTTCAACCATTTGACATTCTCTCTGTAAGACCAGGGATGAGTCTGCTTGGCATACCTCTGTTTATAAGTCAGTTTTAAGTAGGTTACCATTCTACATAAAACCCTTCACCTCTCAGAGTTAGTGGTGTGAGCCTGAAAGTTGCCAGGACATGCTAAACTTTTCCTGAGATAGAGTCCAGTCAGCAATTTTATGACAGTCCTTCTGACCTGAGCTTTGCCTAATAGCATCAAGTCAGTCACAGGACAGTCAGGAGGTTGGAAATGTAACACTTGATGAGGTTTTCACATTGATAACGAGGATAAGCAACTGTGTCATCAGGAGGCTCCAAAGTCCAGGGTCCGTTCAGGGCCAACTACAGCATTGCCACCATTTCTAAGTCCAGGCAGTTTCCACCGACTGAAGCCCTGCAGGAGGCAGCTTCCCATAGCTAAATCTGAAAGGACCATAGCCAGCCCCACTGAAGTCCCAGGAAAAGGCCAGGTTGCCTAAGAGTCATGAGACAGCTGGAAAAGTCCCCGCACCTGACACACCGCTATGGACAGTGCTGCCTCACAGACACCTGAAAGGCACATCAGGGACAGTGTCCGGGTCACGCCAGAAGAGGCACATTCAATCAAGGAGGTTTTGTTTGGGGCTCACATTTAGACAGAGAACGATGCCTTCTCTGTCATTTTTGTAGTTTTTTTCATTGTGTTTGAAAACAGCAGTTCTCTCTTTGGCCTGACAGTATCCCTTCCATGGTAACTGAAGCTTTCCATTGCAGCGGTGCTCCTGAGGGGGGCGACATTGAACCTGCTCAGGGCTCAGTTTTCCTCTTCCCGGATCTCTGGCCTCCTGGAGCATGAGTAACACTATGGCCTGCACAGACAAGGCTTCATTGTCCTTAAAAGGAAAAATGCCTGCATGTCCAGAGTTGGACCAAGCCAGAACAGTAGCCCCTGAGAAGCGCTAGATACATTTTTGACAGTTCCTGTTTACTTTCCATAGGAGAGAGATTATGAGAAGAACATAAGACCACATTTGTACTAGTTTTCATGATTCATGTTATCACTGAAACCAGATGCTATTCTGAATCAAACAACTGTGAAGTGATGTGCAATTCTAATATCTGCTTAATTAATCAAATATTCATTAATACATAAGAAAGCTTTCTATTTGTGTTTTAGAGTATACATTCATCACATGCTCATAAATACTTAAATACAGGAGGCATGCTTGGCAGAGAAATTATTAACTTTTCAGAGATCTGCATATTTTGGAAAGTTTTGGGGGGATTAAATTTTAATGAAACAGCTTTTACTTAATCATAGAAAAATCAAATAATTTTCTAGATTCTGAAAGAAAAATAGATTATAAATTGTAAATGCCTTTTGTCTGTGACAACCGTGCTATCCTTAGTAATTGTATAATATTATGAATCTTGGGAAACAGTGCAAAGCATCAAAAATTTTTATATTTACCTACATATGGATATATATGTAAACATATATATAGACTCTAATACACCTTTATCTATATTGTTTAATATTGATTAGAATTGCTTATAAATTTATATTAATAAGAAATACATCCTGATCTAGTAGAATTTTAATAATTTAATACAATCATGTATCACTTAACGATGAGGACACGTTCTGATAAATGCACCCTTAGGCAAGTTCGTCATGTGCACAGCAACATCATGGTGTACTTACACAAACATAGATGGTATAGCCGATTGATTCTAGGCTATGGATCTGTACAGCATGTTACCGTATGTAGGCGATTGTAACACAATGGAAAGTATTTCTGCATCTCAACATAGAAAAGATACAGTACAAAGATGGTATTATAATCTTATGGAACCATCATCATATATGCAGTCTATTGACTAAAATGTCATTTTGCATGATAAGGGCATTTACTCCAACATTACTTCATTAGATTGGCATCCTTGCTGACTCAAGACCCTTTCCTTATGGAGTAAGGAAATGATGATGATCACCTATTGATTCTCAGAAAGTCTTATATTCTCACTCTTACGTCACCCTCTGTTATTTCCCTCTGCCTTTCACAGCTAGCTGTCCACTTCTTCACTTCACACTCACTAGTCAACTGCTGTGAACTTGGCTTTTACCTTGATCTCAGCTCCCCCAAAAGTCACCAATCATTTCCTAAATGCAAAATATAATGACCTTTTCTCTGTGTCCATCATATTTTGTATAACATTTGATATTGTAATGAGTTGAACTGAATCCCTTTCAGAAAAGACAAGTTGAAATCCTAACCTTCAGTAACTCAGAACGTAACCTTATTTGGACAAAGAGTTGTAGCAGATGTAATTAGTGATGAAAGGAGGTCATACTGGAGCAGTTAGCCCCTGGTCCAATATTACTGGCGTCCTTCGAAGAAGATAGCCATCTAAAAACATATACACAGAACATACTGTGACAATGAAGACAGAGATTGGAATTAGGCCTTTGCAAGCCAAGGAACACCAAAGATTGCCAGCAAACCACCAGAGGCTAAGAAGAGGGCAAAGAAGAGTCTCTCACAAACTTAAGAGAGAGTGTGGCCCTGCTGATGCCTTGATTTCAGACTGCTAGCGTCTAGAATTGTGAGATGATCAATTTCTTTTATTTTAGGCCATTTATGGTGCTTCATTATGGCAGCCCTAGGAAACTGATACAGTTACTACTGACCAAAGCTTTAGTCTGAGCTTATCACAATTTTTTAAATGCTCTTGTCCACAGGGTTTCATACACCATATTTTTCCAGGAGCCTGGCTATAGATGTCATAGATCACAGGATTCTTTACTGCCCCTCATCTCTCTTTTTTTTTTTTTTTTTTTGCAACAGGATTTAACTCTGTGTTGCCTAGGCTGGAGTGCAGTGGAGCAATTATAGTTCACTGCAGCCTCTCCATCTCCTGAGCTCAAGTGATTTTCTCTCATGCTCCCAAGAAGCTAGAACAACAATCATGCATCACCACACCCAGCTAATTTTTATTTTTTCATAGAGATGGGGTCTTGCTTTGTTGCCCAGGATAGTCTCTAACGCCTGGCCTCAAAGGGTCCTACTGCCTCAGCCTACCAAAGCATTGGAGTTACAGTCATGAGCCAGCACATCCAGCCTGATATTCCTTTTAAGACCTCAAACTATCCTACAGTATCAATTGCCACAGATATGTTAGGGTTGCTCAAGTTCATATCTACAGCATGAACCTCTCTATGGCTCCATGGGTCAACCTCCTGTGTTTTCCTGCAGCAAACCAGAGTCAGTAATATTCAGAAGCCTCATTCACTCTTTCAAAGTTACTAACTGTATAGCCCATTTTCACATTAATATAAAGAAATACCTGAGACTGGGTAGTTTATAGAAGAAAAAGGTGTGATTGACTCACAGTTCTGAATTGCTGGGGAGTCCTCAGGAAACTTAACAATCATGGCCGAAAGGGAAGCAGGCAGCAGGGACCCTCTTCACATGGCGACAGAAGAGAGAAGAGTAAATGAGTGAAGCAGGAAGAGCCCCTTATAAAACAACCAGATCTCATGAAAATTTATTCACAATCATGGGAACAGCATGGGGAAGATCACTCCCATGATCCAAACACCTCCCACCATTTCCCACCCTCAACATGTAAGGATTATGGTGATTATAATTCAAGATGAGACTTGGTAGGGACACAGAACCAAATCATATCAGTAAACATTCTTTCATCTATATCCCTAAGGCTAATGTTCCTATAGAAGTTCTGCAATGAGGCTTGTCACCTCCTGTAGCTTTATAATATTCTTGAAAGCAAGAAATATATCCTTGTGGATTCCTGTCCTAAAGTTGAGTTGAAAGGTCTTCAAAACTCTGACAAAATTGGCATGTTTTCCCTTTCCTTTCTCATTGGCTGGCAGTGAAATCTGATATCTTCTACATCCCAGGATTGCTTCTAAATGGAAGCAATATGGGAACAAGCCTTTCCCTCTCCCTCTTCGACCCTAGGTGAAGAGAAGAAAACCAGGCTGACAGAGATGCTTATGGGAAGCTACAGATCAGAGTGAGAGGAGAAGACCATAATGAAGTAGGGAGTGTCTTCCTTTGGGTCTACCAGGAATGGATCTACCTCTGCTCACCATTCAAAGGTCTTTTTTTTTTTTTTTTTGCAGGTTTAAAATAATTTTATCCTGCTTTGGAACAGCTTAACAGTATAATAAAGTTCTGAACTATCAGGGAAAAATATTTCTTTCCTTATTTATTTACTTATAATTTTTCACATGAACCTTGTTTCATGAATGGATAGAGAAAAAGCAATGACAAATTTTTATTTGAAAGTGATCTTGACAATGTTTAAAAACTACAACATTGGGAGGAAATTCAGCCTCCCATTATGAAGGCTTCCAAAAACCAACTATAACTTTTAGAAGAAAAAAAAATTCTGCATTTTGGCAATCAGAAAAATGGCATGTTATGTAAAAACAGAAAAGTTGTATTTCAGCCATGCAATTCAGGGGAATTGTTAAGTTGAGGGTCTAATCTAATACACAATTTTTAAAAAGACTAAATACAAGCTCTACAAACTAAAAAAGCAGATTCCCAGACTGCTATTGAAACTCTTTTTACTTACTGATATTTCTCACTGCTAAAGTATCAAAATGGTACTACATTAAACTAGCAGGACCATCTTTATCATCTGATAATTATTTGCATATCACCTATATATACTATGCTGAAAGCTGTAACTTAACATGTATTTCAGAACTAGGTATATATATAATTACCATGATCCTAGAACCTGATAAAGTCCACAAAATAAAACCCTAGATTGATCCATTGATTGATTGATTGATTGAGACACAGTTTTGCTCTTTTTGCCCAGGCAGGAGTACAACAGCAGGATCTCGACTCACTGCAACCTCTGCCTCCCAGGTTCAAGTGATTCTCCTGCCTCAGCCTCCTGAGTAGCTGGCATTACAGGCATGCACCATCATGCCCAGCAAATTTTTCATATTTTTAATAGAGATGGGATTTCACCATTTTAGCCAGGCTGGTCTTGAACTCCTGACCTCAGGAGATATGCCCGCCTTGGCCTCCCAAAGTGCTGGGATTACAGGCGTGAGCCACCAAACCCATCCCCCAGAATTATTTAATTTATGAAACAACACTAGAAAGTAATAACCCAGAAAATATTCCAACTATTTTTCTACACATGACTGAGAACTTTCAATTCATTCACATAAGATGAACTAGGACTCCCAGAATCTAATTGTAGCACCATTCCTTTCTCTACTCAAAAAGCAAAACAGAACAGCAAATAGTGACTTTGAGTCTGAACTATTTTTTAAAAGTTGTAAAAAAAAAAAAAAACTGGAAAAGTTAAATCATTTAAATAACATCTAAAAATTATTCACAGTATATCCTGATAAGTAAGTGGACTACTATATTAATAAATAAACCATAGCAAGACTTTTGATTCACTATTTAAAAGCAACTTTAAAATTGGTCACTAAAATTTTTTATTACATCAAAGGATTAGAGAAGTAAAACCATATGACCACTTTAATAAATTTCAAAATGATAACTGAAGAAAATGTCATGACAAGGTAAGGCTTATTGTTTAAAATGATTCAACATTTTTATCTAGTAAAACTTGCAAAATCCAAGATTTAGGATTCTTTCTTTATGTGAAGAATATTTATCTTACATCAATAGCTAGAATCACAATTAACTACGACTGTTAAAATGTTTTAGACAGTAAAATTAAAGCAAGAAATAAGATAAATATGCCTGCTGACATAATTACATTTTGGTATGGTGTGAGTTTTGCCAATAAAGCAAGAAAAGAAAAATACAGCTTTAGAAAGGAGGAGATAATTTAACGCTATGTTCAGATGATATGCGACTGTCTTTCAGAAGACCCTGAGAACCAATTTAGAAATTCTAAGACTACAAGAGTTGAATAGTTGTTTGAGTTCAGCCTGAGTAAGACATAAACAGCCTTCACATACACTAGCAATTGTCATTTATAAACAGTATAGGAAAAATTCCATTTATGATTTATAATATAAATTTTTGAAATGAATAGTACCAAAATAAGCTTGGGAAATATGTAAGACCTATATAAAGACAACTGAGAAATTCTAAAGGAAACCAATATAAGAATCTATAAATAAATAGAAGTCTAAATATATAATGTTTTAGTATAGGAAGCCACAATATTGCACACATGTGAAGTCTCCTCAAATTGTTTTACAGATTAAATACAACTTCAGTAAAAACTTTTAACAAATTATTTTAATTTGACAAACTGAATATTTTACATTACACAGATGAGAATTTAATACATGAAAATATAGATAGCTATTTATGTCACATTACTATGAGAAACTCTTTTTAGGTATTAATCCAAAACAGTATTTCACAGTGTGGTTTATTAACTATTTTATGTAGAAGTAGCTAGGTACATTCTAGCAAACAGTCACCAGGGTCACACCAAAGGATTATGACCCTACTTACTAAAGATGCTAACCCAGGATTATTATACCCTGATGGTGGGTCCTGAGACTCTGTCTTAATGAGCACTCCAAAAAATTCTGATGCACATTACATTTGAGAATCGCTACCAGGAAGAGTAAGACTGATAGATTTATTGCACAGTTTATGAAAATTTCTATAAAATAAATACACAAAATCAGATAGGGTATGGTGGCTCAAGCCTGTAATCCCAGCAGTTTGGGAGGCTGAGGCAGGCGGATAACTTGAGGCCAGGAGTTCGAGACCAGCCTAGCCAACATGGTGAAACCTTACTAAAAAAAAAATAAAAAATTAGCCAGGCATGGTGGCGGGCACCTGTAGCCCCATCTACTTGTGGGACTGAGATACAAGAATCATCATCATCTGAACTCATGAGGCAGAGGTTACAGTGTGCTGGAATGAAGCCACTGTACTCCAGCATGGGCAACAGAGCAAAACCTTGTCTCAAAAAAACAAAAGATAAAAGATAAATAAATATAATCTAAAGTCAAAAGAAAACCTGGTTAGAAACATTACCATATAATAAAATGAAATAATAATAATAAATCAATAGAAAAAAAAAACCAGTGAGAAAAATTTGACTTTCTCCAAACACAAGTAAGAAAAGAATGAGGACAGCCAATTCACAAATAGAAGAATGAAAAGACAAAAAGCAAATAAAAAAGAAAACAAGACAGTTGATACTCACTTACAAAATAAAACCAGATACAGATTTCTTTACAAATTGAGAAAGATGTTTTTAAGCATAATGATAAGTGTTGGCAAATGAACTTGTCCCTCTCAAATATCATGTGAGAATATCACTTGATACAATTTTACTGGACAGTTATTTAGCAATATGCATGAAGTATCTAAAAATTATTAATTCCCTTTGACCTAGTAATTTTATTCCTTGGGAATTATCCTGAAATAATAATCAGACCTGCACCAAAGATTCACATACACGGAATAAATAAAAGTAAGAATTAAATCATGTTTTGATTAGAAAAATGAAAACAACAAAAATTCCTCAAATAGGGAAGTTTTTCATAAAGTTTTTAATAATCTGGAAAATTCTTATCATATAATTTCAGTATCCCTCAGATATATAGTTCCAAGTTTATGAAAGAGAGATATGTATGCAGGACATTCCTCAGATATACGATTCCAAATTTATAAAAGACATATATATGTATTTATGTACATATGCACATGCATACATATGTATATATGTTTGTATATCCACACACATATATTCTATGTGTATGGTACTGAGAAAATGATTCTCAGAAATTTTTAATAATATATGGTAGTTTCCATTTTCTTTATTATTTCTTCATTTTTCAAGTTTTCTACAAAGTAAATATGTGACTTTATTGGTTAAGAAGAAAAAAATGGTTAACAAAACTGGCATGCCATAAAATTTTTTTGAAGCTCTCATTTGGAAACATATTCAGAGCTTGTTTAAGTCATAAACACAAACATACACAAAACTAGCCTTGTTCTTTATACTCAGTGCCCTTTCTGGGGTCAAAAATTCATGTTAGACCGCACTCTAGACTGAAATGGGCCCCTCCAAAATTCATATATGTTGAAGCTCTAACCCTCATATATCAAGTTTGAGACAGGACCTTCACAGAAACCTTTAAGATTAAATGAGGTCCTGAGGATGAGGCCCTGATCTGATAGGTTTAGTGTTCTTAGGAAAAACACGGAGAAGAGGTCATGCTCAAGAATGCAGCCACCAACAAGCCAAGAGAAGAGACTTCACAATGAAACCACCTTTTCCAGCATGTTGATGTTGGACTTCCCAGCCTCCAGACTGTGAAATGTGAATTTCTGTTGTTTAAGCCACCCAGTCCACCGTAATTTTTTATGGCATTCTGAGCTAAATAATACAGATTTATCAATCTTATCATTCTACATTGCTTTAAGAAAGTTTGCTTGGGAGGCTGAGGTGTGTGGGTTGCCTG